TGTGTGTGTGTGTGTGTGTGTGTGTGTGTGTGTGTGTGTGTGTGTGTGTGTGTGTGTGTGTGCGTGCGTGCGCGTGCTAAAACCTGACTAACATTTGCCTCGCATTTATAAATATCGATAGATGATGAGACTATCTCTTCAAATCAATTTCAGAGATTCAAATTGAACAAAATACTAATGTAAGATTTGCAGCTATAAATATATATAATGTCGAAAGTCGCGGTGCAGTAAGCTCTTTATTGTGCTTCTGTAGCAGATGAATGATATGACTATATATGAAGACAATCTCCTGCATCTCTTCGAAAATAAGTTGCACGAGGAGAGGTAACTTCTCACGCGTATTGCACGCTCGGAACACGCCGCACGTCGACAATGCACAATGACAGCGCGAGGGACTGTTGATATCGTATGCGAAAAAAACGGATCGCATTTTGAAAGAGATGCTTTCGTAACGTTGTATCAGTGATCGGTAGCGCGCGGATCGGATCGAGCGAAATGTCACGTGGGAAGGAGGTGCAAAAGGAACGAGCGAGTGCGGAAACGTTTCTGCATGTCGACGCACGGTCGACGATTCATGCGTAAAGATTTCCCGCGTGTGTGACGGCGGCGACGGTGGTGTATTATTATACTTTCTACTAGACGTCGAATCGGGAAATCGAAGTCGGACTTTCTAGAAAATAGATTGCGATATCACGCCGATCGCGCCGGTGGTTGATTTCCAGTACGTCGCCAGACCACGCGAGATCGACGGGGATTATCGATCAGTGATAGCCGAAGAAACGAGAGAGAAAGAAAGAGGGAAAGAGAGAGAGAAAGAAAGATAGATGAATAGCCGTGGGGAAGCAATCGAATGTGTGTGCGCTATGCGAGTTGAAATTGCATTAAATTTCGAGGGCGGTATGTGCGGTACATCCCCGTGCATAAGAAAGTCCGGAACTTGTACCGACACGCACGAGTAAACGCTCTCTATGGTTCTTATGGGCTTCATGCGCGGGCTCTCTTCATGGAATATCGATGTCTCGCAATGCGAAATAAAGCGCTGCGACGTCGTTTCTCTACTTGTAATTTCATCCATCGCCGCTTAAAGGCTCTTTTTTCCCCCAACACAATGATTACGATACTTACATGAGCGTTACGTTCAAATAATTTGTCGGGCACGCGCGAGCTGGTAACAAAACCGTATTCGTCTGTCTAATCTCAAGGACTCTGTTGTAAAAATATTACTTGTTTCAAATATTTCGTAAATTTACATATCCGCAAATCTGAATAGGTTCATCAAATTCACTCAAAACATATTCTGAATTCCAGTAAATTTAGAATTGCAATGAAGAATATTAAATTAAAAGGAAAATTTGGTTTGCTTACTACATAGAGTCAAGACAACTTTTTTTTCGTTGAGATTTTATGATATTAAAAGAGAAGTGTGAAAGAATACTCCTTTTTTTTGTGAAGAAAATTCTCCTTTTAAGTACATAATAACAAGCCTTTCTTAAATTTGTGATGAGTATATTTTAAAATTATTATACAAAATATTCTTTGCATAATCATTACTTCAAAAAAAGAAAGTAAACTCTTTTCTTAGCAATAGAATAATATTTTTTTCTGTGTAGTTGTATCCTGAAACATGTTTCGCGAGAATTTGATGAGACTTGCATTATACAAACTGTGAGACATTATTTAACTTTCTTTGAGCAATTAAAAAGAGATTAATTATTCTAGAGTTGAGATTTTTGCAACTAAAGTTGATATTTTTTATACTTGTTCCTTAAGGCTAGTGTGCTACTTTTAATTTTTATTTGTAACATTTACTGAAATACATGTGAGATTTTGGCGAAAAGCTACTATGATATTAAAAACCAATATACAGATACAAAATTTTCAGAATTATTGACTGTTTGAATTTTTGTTTTCAAAATACAGCGGTGGACAGTTCATAATTTATAATAATACTCGAAATATATATGCATATACACATATTTTACTATTTATTCATATATTTCTAAATTCTTCTAAATTTTTAAATACTTATCTACTAATACTTATTTTTAAATACTTCTTTTTATTATCTGTACATTGTTATTAGATAAACTGATGTACAAATGTAGTACTCATATTTTTAATATAATGTATATTGATCTCAACTTTGTTTCAAATTAACAATAATACTTGGATAGTAAAATAAATTTATAGAAACGTAATTTTGTTTGATAAATAGTAAATTTATAAGTGGCTTTTTTAATGTGCCACTGAAAATACGGCTCCATCTCTAACATGAAATATGTATTGCAAATCAAACAATTAATGCAACACTTACCGTTGTACGAACTGCTATTCCGATATCCCTCGCGATTGAAGTAGAATTGAAAATTTTCGCGTCGGCAAATTCGTGCCTTCGAGCGTGGAATGCAATATGCGCGAGTAGCGAGAAAACGAAGTTGCCTGTGGTCAGTGCTTCCAGTCTTTCTAAATTGAACGCGGCGCGGAGCTGAACAAGCATCCTGCCTGATCCTCGCTAAAAACGTGGGAGAGATTCTGACAGATGTTCTATCGCAAGAACGCGCCGTGCGCATTCTTACTTTCTAACGATAATAACATTTTCGCGAAAGGAAGAGCGCGCGTGCCTCATTTGCATTTGAAAACGTGCATCCAGTAGCGCTCTCTCTCTCTCTCTCTCTCTCTCTCTCTCTCTCTCTCTCTCTCTCTCTCTCTCTCTCTCT